CAGATTCAGCCACTGTTGAAACTGATCAGTTTCAGCAGCGGCTGAATCTGGACGCCAGTTCCGACTTACATACAGGTTCAACTTAAGAACAAACCTATAGTCCCTATCTTGTACGTAACCCGGGGACTGCCTGTATATACCTAGAGTACCCTCAGTCAGACCCTGAGTACCCTCATCAGTGCCATCTGAATTCACCTGGTGCAACTCGGTGCTGATCAATGGTGTTTAGAAGAGCCTAAGTCTGTGTTGAACTATGTAGGCTAATGATGGGTAATAACGGGGCTGCCGACAAAGGGCTTTGATGTCGGCAGGGGAGTGTCCAGACTAGCGCGCTGAGCGGACAAACAGCTGATCAGCTGTTTGTCGGCTCATCGTGGCAGCCATGTAAATTTAAATGAAGCCGCGATCATTGAAATCGCGGCTTCATTTGACTTTGCCTATGTGTCTAATCTACATGCCTCTGACGACAGAGGCATGTAGTCTAGACACAGCCTGAGATTTGGTGCAGCGAATGTTTTATCGCAGTGTAGAGGTAGCCTTTGTGCCTCAGTTTCCCCTTTGTACAATAGGAACAATTGCCCTTTTCTGCCCTGTACGGCTGCCGGGAGAACAGGTGTCTTAAATTAGTGAATTGCTCAGATACTGTGGTGATGGGGGCCAATAAGCCAGAGATTCCAGGGCCAGATGGGACCCTAGCTCATTTAGCCTGTTCGTCACAGGCCACCAGCAACTGACATGAGTCCAAGAATTGCAGCTGAAGGGTCACAGAGCCTTGACAGAATCTGATTTTTATTTTTTTACAATTTTGATGCTTAAGATGGAAGTTTATTTTAAGTATTTTTATTGCGGTAAGTGTTTAAATGCTTAGAGTTGTGGGAAATTATTGGGGTGGAGAGGTGAGAGAAGGGGTGTGTGTCAAACAATAATTATTTTGTGACAATAAACATCGAGGTTCAAAGAGTTAAAGCTTTATAATCATTAAAGCACCAGCTGTCAAGGTCACATGTCTAAACACAACAGAAATATCCTCAAATCAAACACTAATAAATACCCAAGCGGCAGGTATATTACTTTGCCTAGCTGTAAACCTCAGGTATTATTAACAGATACATTTCTTTGCAGGTTTGTGTGTGTATGGGGGAAAGTATTGTATGCAGCCTGGTTGTAGCCCTATGAGCCCCAGGACATTAGAGAGACAAGGTGGGTGAGGTCTTATCTTTTACTGGATCAGCTTCTGTTGGTGAGAGAGACAAGCTTTCAAGCCACACAGCACAACAACTCGGTGTAGCTTGACGATATGTGTACGTGTGTTTCTCTCTGACCACCAGAAGCTGGTCCAATTAAAGATCAGACTCACCCCCTTGTCTCTCTTTGGTTAAATTGACATTTACAGATAAAACTAGCCTTCCCCCTTTCGGAACAGTGATCCCCAAACCTTTACCGCTTCCATGCTCCCCCCTAGGAACTTGGGACAGGAGAGGGCCTGCGGCTCCCCAGCAGACAGGGGTAACGGGATGGAGCCCCAGCTGGCAGCAGGGCTGGGACTGGAAATGGAGGCAGGGCCAGGGTGAGGCTGGGGGGAGGGGGGCTGTACCCCTCTGAATGTTCCTGTGTCTGTCTAAGGAGGTGCTCTACAGTTTGGGGACCGTTGCTTTGAAGCCTAGAGCACAGTTAGTGGTGTGAGTTTGCAAAGCGCCCATGAGATTTCAGGAGCATGTGTTTCTTTGAGAGCCACCGGAATGTGTGCTCCTAACTCTCTTAGGCTCAGAAATACAGATCTATGCCGCCAGTCCTTCCTCTGAATGTTCCTGTGTCTGTCTAAGGAGGTGCTCTACAGTTTGGGGACCGTTGCTTTGAAGCCTAGAGCACAGTTAGTGGTGTGAGTTTGCAAAGCGCCCATGAGATTTCAGGAGCATGTGTTTCTTTGAGAGCCACCGGAATGTGTGCTCCTAACTCTCTTAGGCTCAGAAATACAGATCTATGCCGCCAGTCCTTACCCATCTTCCCCAGAAGGTAAATCGCTAGCAGCAGAGCCAGGAAGAAAAGGGCTGTGAATAGGCACACCTCTCCGAGGTCCAGTCCTGGGAGAAACAGATCACAGTGAGGCACAGGGCTGGTTTGGAGTTGTTTCTGACGGACGTTTTTATTTTGGCTTTTGAAAAATGGAAGCATTTGGACATTTTGATTCTCCCCCTTTTTCCATTTTTTTTTTTTTGCCCTTGGGCTTTCACTTGCTTTCCCCTTTGTTCTGTGCTTCTATTTTTCCTTTTGCTACTCGATAATTTTCCCATAGTTGGGGGTGTTTTAAAGAGCGACAGAACGGGAAAAAACGGGATTGAAACATTTAAAACATCTATTTTGGAAATAAAGAAAATTTCGATGAGACTGGAAATTAATATTCAGATACAGGTCAAAGGCAAATTGGGAATTTCTGTTTGTTCCAGTTCTAAATTCACCCCTTGCTAATGGAAACATGGGACCTGAAACATTTCCAAGGAATTCTTTTTTCCCTTTAAAAATTTCCTCAGGAAAAAAATGGCGGTGTTTTGTTTTGTTCTGTTTTGTGTTTTTAGCTCAGCTGTAATGAATAGTTTGGTGCTGACAGGCAATGAAAGGGGGATGACTCCGGGTTATTACTAAAACTGTGCTTACCATGGCTGTGACCACATGGGATGAGGCTGACCAGGATAGAAAGGGACCTCCTCACAAATCTCCCAGGGAACTGGGCTGGTTCAAAATCCCTCTGGTGCAGTGGAAACTAATGCACTGGGAAAGAGACTGCAAAGGACCCAGGAGGTATTCTCCTGCAGGTGGGAAGCAGGAGTTGGCAAGAGACGAGGATCCCTGGGGAAGCCAATACTGAATGTGTCTCTAGACAGATTTCTGCCCCTGTGTTCCCTGCCTGACACAGGTGAGTGCTGCTGGATACCCTGGCAAATTGTGTCTTTGCTTGTCCCAGCTCCAGCTGCCCCCTATGGGCCTTTCCCTGCCCTAGGGAGTCTCTCTTGAGTTTATAGGGCCTACCAAGAACACGCTGGGCCTTTGTTCTGAGGGAGACTTCTACTCCCTCCGCTTCCCACAGGAAAGTTGAAGCAACTACTGCCTAAGTGTACCTATTGGACTACCCTCATTGTGCCTAGTCCACCTTGTACCTGGAGCAGAATTTTCCAGAAGGCTAGACACGGAGCCATCGCATGACTTAGCAGTGTTCATAGAAACTGCTTTGCGGCGTCAGCTGGAATTTCATTTGGTGACCCCTAGTTCTTATGTAATGGGAACAAGTAAATAACTTTTCCTTATTCACTTTCTCCATTCCCTTTATGACCTCTAGCATATCTCCCCTCAGTCTCCTCTTTTCTATGCTGAAAAGTGCCAGTCTTTTTAATTTCTCTTCATATAGCATTCATTCCAACCCCCTAATCATCTTTGGTTGCCCTTTTCTGAACTTATTCCAATGCTAAGATATCTTTTTGGAGCACATCTATACATAGTATTCTAGATATGGGTGTGCCATGGATTTGTACAGAGGCAATAAGTCTGTACAATCTGGCTACGTCTAGACTGGCATGATTTTCCGCAAATGCTTTTAACGGAAAAACTTTTCCGTTAAAAGCATTTGCGGAAAATCATGCCAGTCTAGACGTAGCCAGATTGTACAGACTTATTGCCTCTGTACAAATCCATGGCACACCCATATCTAGAATACTATGTATAGATGTGCTCCAAAAAGATATCTTAGCATTGGAATAAGTTCAGAAAAGGGCAACCAAAGATGATTAGGGGGTTGGAATGAATGCTATATGAAGAGAAATTAAAAAGACTGGCACTTTTCAGCATAGAAAAGAGGAGACTGAGGGGAGATATGCTAGAGGTCATAAAGGGAATGGAGAAAGTGAATAAGGAAAAGTTATTTACTTGTTCCCATTACATAAGAACTAGGGGTCACCAAATGAAATGAATAGGCAGCAGGTTTAAAACAAACAAAAGGAAGTTTTTCCTCATGCAGTGCAATCTACTTGTAGAACTCCTTGCTGTGGTGAAGGCCAGGAATTGAAGAGGGTTCAAAAAAGAGCTGGAGGATAAATTTATCAATGGCTGTTAGCCAGGATGGGCAGGAATGGTGCCCCTAGCCTCTGTCAGAAGCTGGGAATGTGCGACAAGGGTGAAATCACTTGAAGATTCCCTGTTCTGTTCATTCCCTCTGGGGCACCTGGCGTTGGCCACTGTCAGAAGACCGGATACAGGGCTAGATGGATCTTTGGTCTGACCCAGTGTGATCGTTCTTAGGTTCCTATACAGCCCACTTTACCCCAATCATCACTGTGTGAGCTGGCGGGCGGAGGGGCTGTGGCTGTAGATTAGCAGAGGGTTCTGTCTGGGAGAGGAGAGGGTGGCCTGAGCTGGGCAGAGGCTGCCCCCTAAAAGATAGGACACCCCTGTGGCTGTCCCCTTGGGCCAGCCCTAGAGACGCTGTCCACTGCAAGCTGTCAGGAGAGACAGATGCTCCAAGTCTCCCACAGCCCTGGCCACTCCTACCCCCCTACATGCTCCCTGCTATGGAGCAGGTTGGAGGGCAGCTGCATATAGGGTTGCCAGGTGTCCGGTTTTCGCCCAGACTGTCCATTATTTGGGTCCCCCGTTTGGTAAAAAAAACCCCAGAAAGTACTGGATATGTGAAATGTCCAGTATTTCCTGTTTCCTTCGGATGTAAGCCCAGCGGGTACAATTTTCCCCTGCCAAGTTTGGCAGGGGCTGTGGGAGTGAGACCGTGGGGCCATAAAGACACAGCACCTTTTTTTTTTGTTTGTTTGTTTAACAACTGTGGTCTCCCTGCCTTTTTTTTCTCAACAGAATATTTTCCTGGTGTTTTTTTGGGGGGGGGAGGAGGGGTGGGTTCAGTATTTTTGTTAAACCATCTGGCAACCCTAGCTGCTCAGGCACAGGCTAACCCCAGCTCTGAATGCGGGGGATGCCACGTCAGGCCTGACCCACAGCCCACTAGGCTCCATGGGCTGTGGATTGGGCTCCTAACAAATGACAACCACTTACGTCTGCATGGTGGGTTGCTGCCGCTAGGGGGTCCTGTCCGGGCAGTAACAAGCATAGGTGAGATCACAACGTTACAGTCCTTCCAGAGCCATCCCCAACAGGAAATTCACCCTCCCTCAGTGAGACAGAAGTGAGCAATCACAGAGCAATGTCCACCCGAGGGACCCCCTCCCTGCCAGCCTCCCCCTCCCCGTGTGCTGCTGGGGGGAAGCACATATTGGCTTTTCCGGGCCTGACCCCAGCCAGCGGCAGCCTCTCCCAGTGCTGGGTGCCCGCAGCCCCTCACCTGTGACACGGAGATGCCAAGGGATGCTGAGGCCTGAGGCCTTGGTCTGGCTGAGGTGGAGCGTGCGCTCGTACCTGCAGGCGTAGTGCCCTGCGCTCTGCACGGAGAGGTTCAAGGTGAGCTTGGCAAAGAACTGGCCCCGGCTGGTCAGCTGCTTGGCCAGCACCACCCCGTCCTTGCAGAAGAATATGGTGGAGGCAGCAGAGGAGGAAAGAATGATGCACTGGGCCACGGCCAGGCCCCCCTGCCGGGCGGAGGAGACGTTCATGATCAGCATAGGAGCGGGAAGTTCACCTGCAAGCATAGATGTCGGCTGAGTACCAGGGGCCGTGAGGCCCAGGGTGACCCAGACCTGGCGAGTCAGGCCTGCCTGGGCCCCACGGAGCTGCTGAAGAGAACAGGACTAGCCAGGTCAGGCTGCGGCCTGATAAACACCCGGCCTCATGAGGGCGCTGAGAAAACTCCCTTTGAGAACAATGACAGAGCAGAAGACACCAACTTGCAGCCCCCTCCCCAAGATGCCCCTCAGTCCTGACCCACAGTCCCCGTACCCAACCATGCATCTCACTCCTGACCGCAGCCCCGCTCCCGCAATGACGCACCTCACCCTCAACTCGCAGCCCCCTACTGCCAGACGATGGCCCCCATTCCCGACCTGCAGATCCACTCTCCAACAATATGTAAGCAGGGGAATGGTCCCGCTATTGTGGGGAACTTTCCCGGCTTCTATACCACCCCGGTGAAATGGACCAGAGAAAGGATCTGAGTCCCCACTCCCACTTCCTTTACCCCACGGCTTCCCTGATCCTGAGGGGTCCCCCTCCACTCTCCTGAGTAGCAGAGTCCTCGAAACCCCAACAAGGCTGGGCCCAGGTTTCCTGGGGCTTAATCCCCGACCTTGTAGTCACTAGGGGCAGGAGTTAGGGTGTCCCCACTCCGAGGTGCTCTCCTCACACTGCAGGCTTTCTTGGCCCAGTGATCATTTCATAAGGTTCAAAGCAAATACAATTTATTAAACATCAAGGCTACGTCTACACTGGCCCCTTTTCCGAAAGGGGCATGCTAATTTTCAACTTCGTAATAGGGAAATCCGCGGGGGATTTAAATATCCCCCGCGGGATTTAAATAAAGATGTCCGCCGCTTTTTTCCGGCTTGGGGAAAAGCCGAAAAAGAGCGTCTAGACTGGCCCGATCCTCCGGAATAAAGCCCT